ATAAGCAAAGTGTTAGTCATCTGAAGGTGTTTGGTTCTGTTTGCTATAAACATGTTCCAGAAGCCAGAAGACAGAAGCTGGATGATAGAAGCAAAGTGATGATTCTGATAGGGTACCACAGTACAGGTGCATACAAGCTCTATTGTCCAGAAACCAATAAAATTGAATTCAGCAGAGATGTGATTGTGAAGGAATCAGAAGTTTGGAATTGGGATAAGTCTCAATCTGATTCTGATGTTAGAACTTCTGAAGAAAGGTCAGAGTTAAGAATTTATGAAGTTGAAGTAAACTCTGACGTTGATTCTGACTCTGATAGTAATTCTGACTCTGGAGAAGACTCAGAAGATGAAGGTGACTCTGATGATCCAGACTCTGATGGTAATCCAGATTCTGGTGGAAATTCAGACTCTGAAGATGGCTAAAACTCTGAAAATATGCCAGATCTTGAAGATGGTCAAAGCTCTAGAGGAAGTCAACCATCTAAAGCTGGAAACTCTGAAGCTCAAGACTCTGAACAAGTTCAGAGACCACAAAGAATCAGAAGCGTTCCCAGAAGATTTGCAGAATTTGACATGCTGCAAGACACTGAAGTAGACTCTAAAGGAGAAGTTATTCAGTGTGCCATGTTAGTAGACTCTGAACCTATAAGTACAGAGGAGGCTCTTAAGCAGAAGCTCTGGCTGAAGGTCATGAAAGAAGAACTTGATGCTATAGAGAGAAACAAGACTTGGAAGCTGACAGAACTTCCAAAAGACAAGAAAGCCATCAACGTCAGATGGGTTTTCAAGCAGAAGTTAAAGCCAGATGGCTCAATTGGCAAACATAAAGCAAGTTTGGTAGCCAGAGGATTTCTACAAAAACCTGGGTTGGATTACTCTGAAGTGTTTGCACCTGTAGCAAGACATGAAACAATCAGAATGGTGATTGCAATAGCTGCTAACAGGAATTGGCCTCTAATGCATTTAGATGTAAAATCTGCATTTCTGAACGGTCCATTAGAAGAAGAAGTTTATGTGTCACAACCTCCTGGATTTGTGAAAAAGAATCAGGAAGGGATGGTGTACAGATTATACAAAGCTCTATATGGATTGAAACAAGCGCCCAGAGCTTGGAATTAGAAGATTGATTCATTTTTCAAGAAGCAAGGCTTTCAGAAATGTGAGATGGAGTACGGTGTCTATGTTCAGCATACTTCTGAAGGCAATATGACTCTGGTATGTTTATATGTTGATGATATACTGCTGACTGGAAGTTCTGAACATGAGGTAGCCAAGTTCAAGAAGGTTCTAATGAATGAATTTGAAATGACTTATCTAGGCAAAATGACATACTTTATAGGGATGAAGTTCAAATATTATGAGAAAGGTATCATTTTGCATCAGCTCAAGTATGAATTAGAACTTCTGAAGAGATTTGATCTGAAGAATTGTAAGATGGATGTCACACCTTCTGATACAAATCAGAAACTGGACTCAGACTCTGAAGGAAAGGATGTGGACGCTACAACCTTCAAACAGTTGGTTGGTTCTCTGAGGTATCTGTGCAATACCAGACCTGATATCTGCTACTCAGTTGGGATGGTTAGTAGGTCCATGAGTAAACCTAAGTGGTCCCATTACCAAGTTGCTGTCAGGATTCTGAGGTATATCAAAGGAACTCTAAAGTATGGAGTGTTATTTCCCTCTGGAGGGAATAATGAGTCATAACTTCTGAGTTATTCAGACTCTGATTGGTGTGGAGACAGAGTTGACAGAAGAAGTACATCTGGGTACTTGTTCAAATTTCTGGGAGGTTCCATTTCTTGGTGTTCCAAGAAGCAACCTGTTGTGGCGTTGTCAACCTGTGAAGCTGAATACATTGCAGGTGTTGTTACTGCATGCCAAGCTGTGTGGATTTTGAATCTGTTGCAGGATCTGAAGATTAAAGTAGACAAACCTCTGAAGTTGATGATTGACAACAAGTCTGCAATCAATCTTGCCAGAAACCCAGTGTTGCATGGGAGAAGCAAGCATATTGAGACCAAGTACCATTTTCTGAGACATCAAGTTCAGAGTGGAGTGCTAGAAGTTGTACATTGCAGCACTCAGAAGCAATTGGCAGATGTTCTGACGAAAGCTATCAAGACTGATCAATTTCTCAGACTAAGGGATGGAATTGGTGTTACAAGTTTTGATGGAATATGAATTAAGGGATGGTATTAGAATATTAATAATAATTCATATTTATTTAGTTGTACTATTTTCTTAGCCCCTAAGTTTGTTAGAGGGTATTTTAGTATTTTATCTTATTCTAGTAACCCTAGTTTTAGCTTATAAATAGGGTGACAATCATTGTAACTTTTATCATGTTTTTGTAGTCGTCATTCTTAATAGAATATTTCCTTCGTTCATCATTTATTCACCTTTGCACCAACAGTTCCAACATAAAGTTTAACTTCAATCAGGCAAACATGACCTAGCGCTCTTGCATGACATGATACGTTAAACATCATACCATTCTTTCGCAACACACTTTTTCCAATAACTTCAATTTTGAAGGGGATACTTCCACAAGTACAATAGAACCATACCCGACTAGCCTTTGAGCAGATAAAGATTTTAAATAACGGTCACGATCTCATTGTGATCGCATAAAGACTTTTACGATTGAAGTCGTCGTAGCATAAATTAACCACAATTTATTCTTTTAACATAAAAACAGTTAGTGACAGTATTTTTTTTATTGGCACCCGCCGGTCATCGCAGTATAAATTATACATTCCTATTTCTATAATCCACAAATACACGTAAAAATTAACAACTAGTTCTGAAAATGAATTTAGGAAGCTAAGAAAAGTTACACAGCCATTAGTTATTAAGCATATTAAACTATATGCAAATGTAGACAAAGACAGTGTAAATTTTAAAAGAGGAAACTAAAACTTGATGTCATGAGGTCTATAATAGCTATACAGAGACAGTTTCTGTGGTCGGGATTGAAACAAGGCCGTGACATTGCTTGGGTTAGTTGGCGGGACATTTGCAAGGTGAAAACGGAAGGAGGCTTGAGGATAAAACATATTGGTTTGTTCAATACAACTCTTTATGGTGGAAAGATATAACTTCTCTTTGTGCGGTAATGGCAATTTCGTAGATTTTTTGTCTTTTAAGCTTCGTGAGGGTAGTAGGATTTTATTCTGGAGATCAAAATGGCTTGGGGGTAGACCATTACAGTTTGTATTCCTGAACTTATAAAATTTTTCAAATATGAAAGTTGGGTTGGTCGAGCAAATGGGAGATTGGTTTGATGATGAGTGGCGATGGAATTGTGACAGAATAGCAGGTTTTCACGATGAAACAGTAGCGTAGGACCTGCAAGAACTGATCTGCTTACTACATAATACTCAACCAAATCGTGTGGCAACTGATAAGATAATTTGACTTTATGATACGAACAAATGTTTCTCAACAAAATCTTACTATAGCAGACTTTTGACAGCACAAGCTCATGACAACTTAGATGTTGTCAGCAAGAATTCACTGCAATGGATTTGGAAGGCGTCTGTTCCTATCAAAGTGAAGACATTTGCGTGGCGTTTGATCTTAAACAGGCTCCTTACTCGTCTCAATCTTGTCAAGTGTGGTGTCATCAATAATGTGCATGAGCGAGTATGTATTTTTTGTTTTGATGGTGATGAAGATATCAATCATCTTTTCTTTGATTGTGTTAAAACAAATTTTGTTTGGTGTTTGGTGTGTGGGTTGTTGAACGTCGATAACTTTTGTGTATCCGGTAGTAACAACTGCTTGAAATTGTGGATTGAGAAAGTTAGGGAGATTGTGGATTGAGAAAGTTAGGGAGAAAATTTCAGTATATATTGCAATTGGATTATGGTGTATTGTATGTTGGTGTTTGTGGTTTTTTAGAAACCAAATCCTTTTCAACGACGAGATTGGAGATTCGGTATTGGTGATGCAAAGAATTGTGCTTAATTCTTGGTGGTGGCTTTTTAAGAGTATCTCACGAGTTATTACGATTGGTGGGAGTTTCTTTAATAGGACTGTTGTAATTTACATATCCAGTGTGATCCTTGTATTTAAGTTGGAATACCCTAGTACGTACCCTTATTCATTTAGTTATTTTTATGTTTATCGGGAAAAAAAATCAGGAGTAACAACCAAAAAGATGGAAAAAAACTTACACTATTGAATACACATAAATAATTGACAATCTATAAATTATTACATTTAAAGAAAATAAGTTTTTTGCCATTGAAATCCTCATATACATTGTTAAGTATATATTTCATAGTGTATTAGAATTGTGATAAAGATTAAATATAATGTTTAAATAGTTTAGCACTGAGGGCTCAAATAACAAGTGCTTAGTAGTTCAATCATCTGTATTTCTCATTATTCCAACACAAAGTTTAATTTCAGCAGGGCTCCTGCATGACATGATATGCTAAATATCAGATCATACTAATGCTTTGCCTAGAACTTCATCTTATAAAATGAAAGCATACAGAATCTTGGAGATAGTGTTCAGTTGTAGATTGAATTAGATCATTCAATAGTATTGTAATTCATATCAAGGTATAAATCATACAAGGTTGGAAAAAAAGAATTAACTAGCAACATAAACAAGACATAATTCAATAAATAAATAACATAACACTACAAAATTATGACGCGACATCGTTCATTTACTTGATCTTTAAATTATACTTTACTATTTCTATAATCTATAATTCTGAAAATTTATTCAGGCAGCTAAGAAAAGTTACAGTCATTAGTTATTAAGCATATTATATGTGATTCTATTTGCAAAATTATCTATTTATTTTCTAATATTAAACAAAAATAAATTTCAGTTTGTAAACTTTTTATATATGCAGACAAAAAGGAAACTAAAACTTGATGTTCAAGTCAAGTGTAATTTCATAAGATTGATTTAGAAAAATATTATTCATAAAAATAGTAAATTGTAATATTAAAAAAAAAAAACAGAGCAACCAAAAACTAAAGGGTTGAATAAGTAACTCTTAGAGAAAGTTTTAGGAGATCCTGAGAAGCCATTGCAATATCTAAAATCCAAAAGCTATCCATATTAGGATTATATGCTCCACCAGTAAATAATTCCAATTGTGTAAGTTTTGGATATTGAATCAAATACTCGTTCGTCAACTTGGATATCTGTTTACACAAGTAACATTTAAAGTGAATTAAAAGCAATTATTGACAAACACATAAACATATACAAGCAATGTATGGACTTTGAGTGATTCACCTGTGAAAGGGTCATTGGCATAGCGAAATTCTCATGTTGATGTAATCTTGAAGTTGTAGAAAAGTTATAGACATTTATCTCGTTAAAACCGGCATCCCAAAAAACCTTCAATAACTTTGGAGCCTCAAGAGAAACCATGCTCCTCATATGCTTGTAACCTCTATATTGAAAAGATGAGAGATTCATAGCATGAATATCAATCTTACAAGTACGGCTATACCTATGGTAACAATGAACTAAACTCAAGTGACGCAACTTTGCACTGATAATGTTGACATCAGACGTGAAGCGGCACATGTTTAAGGTGACATCTTCCAGTTGGAGACATTTAGAAAACAAATGTGTTATGGCATCATCATCTTCACAGAGTCGATCCAACACAATTGTTGTAACATTTGTCAGTCTAGAAAACTCGAGATTAAAAAGTTTAGCGCTTCTATAGGTAAGCTTGGATAACATAGGAGAGTCAATTTTCACCTTGGGTAATAGATTTGGGAAAAATTTGGGAGAATATTCTATGTATAAGAGACTTGGTGACATGATATCAATATTCCACGGCATTGTGATGAGAGGCTTGCAGTTAATGTTCAAATGAAGCAATGTTGGACTAGTTATTTTTAAGTGAGATAGGAAGCAACATTGATTAAGAGTGAAGTTCTCAAGACGGATGCAGTTAAAACACAGATCCTGAAGCATATTCTGCTCCACAGGAACTCGAGTCAACACAAGAGTTGTCAAATTCTTCAATCCAGAAAATTCCATAGTTGCTGCTATATGGCAGTTCTGTAGGTGTAGATATGTGAGAGAATTAGGGCCAGACAAGAAAGGGAATAAAAATTTGTATGGCTCTATTTTTAAATCAGTTATGTATGGCTTTTTAAAATTAGTTTTATTTGCTAATAGCAGCTCAATACGATTGACACCCTTAAGAAGTCCATTGTGAATCAATCCATCGATGGCATAAGTATGATCGACACCTAATGGAAAACTAACTTGGATTGAACGGATGGTGTCACCGGGATATTTGTGCATGAAAGTATCCAAACTTGCGGCAAATTGAGATTGAAGTTGTTGAAAGAGTGGAAGGGTTATTGGTGAGTCTGGAATTGTATCATAATCAAACATGTTAAAGAGATCAAATTTGAGGTCCTTCTTTAAACCCCATTCGTGATACCATTGTTTGGACAAAACACTAGTTTTCACCAAATTCTTCAAACTTAACTTGGAAAAGATATACGATATAATACAGTCAGGCAACTCGGTTGACTCGCTCTTGAGTTTCTTAACCCTGTTCATTCTTGCTGCAAACAATAATCAACAAACATTAGAATTTCAATTAACAGCATGCTGTAATTTGAGAATGATAGTAATTATTATTGCAATTAGAAGCTAGAAAAGAAAATCGAGGTACAGGAATGAACACGACCTACCTCTGAAGTCAAAACTGCCGGTGGAATCTACAAGGTTGTTGTTGATCGTGATGCTTTGCGCTCTGGATGGAAAACCTAGGATTAGGGTTTATTTATCGGTCTCGAATTAGGGTTTGTTTCTTTAGATTAAATTTGTACTAGTGGAAAGTATGATTATATAATATACTTCAATTCCCAACTACAATCATACACTCACTACTATATTAATGTAAAATTTTAATTAATAAATTAGTTAAACTTTTTTATCACTTGTTATTTTTATATTATTTTTTAAAATAAAAAATTTCCACCACACAAATCTTAAAACTACTACTTTTAAATTTTTTTAAGTATAACAATGTTATTCAATTAAAACACCAAATAAATCAAAATTTGAATTTTTTTTTTCAAAATGGCTAGATTTTCCAGTGTTGTCGCCAATTGATGTGGTTTGGGCCAAAGTAGGTGGCCCATTTGTATTTTTTTTTACGCATGAATTAATGATTTTATTTTATTTTTTAATTTCAATTATTTATTATAAAAAATATTAAATTAAGTTTTAATAATTATATTTAAAAAAATAAATAAATGGAATAATGTTAATTTAATTTATATTTTAATAATTAATAATTATGTTTTAATAATTAATTTATGTTTTTTATTTTTCATAATTAATTGAATTTTAAATAATGTTAAAATAAAAGAAATGAAATAAATATTAAATTAGTTTTTAGGGTTTAGAAATAATTAATTGAAATTTAAATAACGTTAAAAAATATAGACATGTAATAAATATTAAAATATATTAATTCAAAATGAAAATGAAAATTACAATTGAACAAAAAAAAACTAATGGCCAGCTCTATCCAAGCGACCACCGATGCCATATTGCGGAGGATGCGCGTTGCGACGAGGTTGTTGTGGTGTGTCCGGTCTTTGTGTGTTGAGTTGTGGAGGAGGGTTTTGTTGGGACGGCCTCGGCATATCAGATAGATTTTGAAGCATTTGACCCCAATAGCCAAGAAGTCCACTATCAACGACGCTTCCGTAGTTAAGCCTAATGCCCATGTTTTCGTAGGATTGTCGGGGAGGTTGGGTGGAGTATGGACGGTATGGTTGTCCAAATTCGTACGTCGAATTGGGTTGGAAATGGTGTGTTGGTTGTTGTGGGGTTTGGTAGTCAAACAATGGATAATTGGTAGTCAAAAACTTGATCGATAAAATAGCAAGTGTACTATTTTGCCAATCGAGTAATAACGGAAAATTTCCCGAATGTCGATCTCAAGGACTGCTTGATGATATAGAATTCTGGTTTTATGTTAGTTAAACAAAAGTCTAGGGGTTTCAAAGGTTTTAATTTGTAAAAATAAAATGCAAAAGGCAAAAAGAGTAAAATAAAGGTTTTGAACAGAAGGAGAAGCAATGTTAGGGTAGGTTGTATGAACTTCCTTGTAATAACACTAATCCTAAGTCATAAAATCACTGCTCAATTAAATCATTACCGGTTTTAAAGATTAGTTGACTCTAATTCTTTAGCAGAAAACCCTTTGGTATTCCCCCTATGCCCCAATTTCTTGGCGGTATAGGAAGAATACCAAGCAATATCTTTTATCTAAAACATTACAGTTACTATAGGGTATCCCCATTCCTAGGAAATATCTACTATAGTATTATCGTATAAACACGTTAACAATCGTTTTTCCAAACCTAAGGTTAACCGTAAATCAAATCCTTATTTGTCAAATAAGAAAAGCCATAAGAAAATTATGCAATAACAACGATGATTAGCAAGCAGTGAAATTCATTATTCAAAGGAAATAAGGTTATTAAAGAGTCAATTCAGGGACACCCTCCTAGCATTGGGGGTTTAGCTTCTCATAATAATAAAAATAAAATCAACAATAAAACTGAACATTACAAGATAATTGGTTGCTTTGATCTTCAATCGCTTCCGCTCATGAGGACCTTCCGTTCCCAAATCCTTGATCGCTCCAATCTTTCTCGTGAAATTATTCTCCGTCCAAAAAAATTTTATTTTCTCAATTCACGATCATTCTAATACACCAAAATTCAAATTACAATGCGAGATGCCTAAACTGCCCTCCGAGATAGCACACCAAAACTTAATAAAACTAATGTTGCAGGTTCAAACAAAAATCTGGAAAAATTTGCTTCGAATCTGACTTCAACTCCAACACAAAAGTCGTAGCTCTCTCTCTCTCTCTCTCTCTCTCTCTCTCTCTCTCTCTCTCTCTCTCTCTCTCTCTCTCTCTCTCTCTCTCTCTCTCTCTCTCTTAGCTTTCCGGCGATTTTTAGAACGCCTCAAACGGATTCCTGGAACTCCAGTTATGATCGTTTCCGTGCAGACTGTTAAAGATTTTACTTTCAGTAGCCCTGACACGGGCAGTGTCACAGGACACGGGCACCCATGTCAGGCTGCTGATTCTTGGATAAATACTTTCAAAATCTTGCCATTTTTCCCCGGTTTTCGCTCTGCTTCTCCTTTATTGTTTACCTGAACCTAGAAACAGCAAAAATACCAAAATGACGCGTAAAATGTAATAAAAACAACTAAAATGCGACAAGACAAAACAAATGATTAACTGAAATAAACGGTAAAATCACATGTAAAAACCACTGATTAAGGGGGTAGGGTCAAATGAGTTATCTGGGCTATAAGTGGAGGGGGTAGGGTCAAAAGACGTATCAGGTCTATATTGGTATGGTGGTTGATGCTGTGACTGGGTGGGTGGCATGTACGGGTCATGGAAAGGATGTTGTTGTTGATGTTGGGCATTTGGTGGAATGTATGGGTTATGGTAAGACTGATGTTGGGCATTGGACTCTTGTTGTATGTTTGATGAAGAAGCGCGTTGCCTTGGGTCAATCAAATAGGTTGGCTCGGACAGAATTGACTGAGATTTTGTGACCGACCTAAACCAAGTCATATATTGATAACTTGGCTTAGCCCCTACCACAATTTGATCGGTTAACATGTGTTGCCTTCTGTTCTTCCAGTGTTGACACATCTCCTTCGCAAACTCCTTCCAATGACTGACACTCCACTGTGAGTCCACTCATTGCTGATGCCACTGCCCCAATGATGTCGGAGCATCTGGAATATCCTAATGTATCCCAAATTGTAGCTTCACCCTGTCACTTTGGTGCATCTCCACCATAGTGAACCTAATGATGGGTGTTCTTGATGTCCACGCAGCAGCATCATTGGGGTCGGGCTGGTGGTCGAGACCCTCGTACGGCATCCAGAAAAACTACAATAAAGGTGGATACATTTAGTCAGACAAAGATAGACAAGTTTATGCATATAAGTTAGACAAATTAAAGGTAGATAACTTACATCATCTGGCCCAAGGTGGTCGATGAGGTTCCAGTACACAATTAAAGAGTGTCTAGGACATCTCGGATAATTCATCCCTAGAACAGACCACCTAAAAAAAAGAAACACATATAAGTTAGCATCTAAAACACATCTCACAAATTATTAACTTACAAAGAAAATTTGGTTGCTAAATAGTCTTGAAAAAGAAACTTACTTGTTGGCGTACGAGAATGTAAACAGATTCCGGTTTACTGGAACAAGCATTGGCATCCTAGACCAACCCCACCCTTGTAGGAGATACACGCAGCCATAAAAAGTACAAGATTTTTTTTTGGAATTTTTACACAGTGCACTATACAGATGGGCGAGTACAGCTGATCCCCAACTATATTCACACACTTCGTTTATGTTTTGTAGCAATGGTAAATACATAATATTCACGCTATTTCCAGTGCCCTCTGGAAATAAAAAGTGACCAAACAAAATCATAATATAGCATCGTATTTTGACTATTTTCTCATAGTCTGTGCTATCCTCAATTAAGACAATATTGTTGTATTATTGTCTAAGGTATTTAAGATTTATTCCCTAACCCCTTGTGCGACCCTCGCGTTCTGCTTGAGTTGCGTCCACACAAAGAGGGGCGCCCAATAAATCTTTGCAAATTTGGTCGTTAACACCAACTTTGTCGTTGGCGGCCTTACCATTGATGTGTAGGCCGAGCAACATGTAGACATCTTGAAGAGTCACAGTGCACTCACCAAAAGGTAGGTGAAATGTATGTGTCTCTAGTCTCCAGCGTTCTAACAACGCTAGAATGAAATTCGCATCGAGCGAGTATGATTTGATTTTAATCAAATCACCAAACCCACAATGACGAAGGTATCCCTCTATGAGGGGTTCGTGTGGTATGTAATCATGCACAGGACATCGAAACCTTGATGCATCCTGCAAAATAATTAATGTTTCATTAGTTTATAGAAGAACTAAAGATCGTAAACATAGAGAGAAACTAAAAACTTACAAACTTGGAGATGTTTTCAATCGTGCCTCTGTGAGAGTTACCCATTGTGAGTAGAGACATTGTGGTTTACGAATTTACTGGGTGAGTAGAGTTTGAGAGTTTGAGAAACTGAGAATTTGAGAATTTGAGAGTTTGAGACTTTGATAGTTTCAGACTTTGAGAGTTGAGAGTTTAAGTGTGAGCAGATTTTGCTGGGTAAAGAACCTCTATTTATATTCCACGAATGCATGTGTCTTGTAAATGCATGCAGGGCAAGTGTCTTGATGCATATGTCTTGTAAATTCTGCAGGGTAAGTGTCTTGATGCACATGTCTTGTAAATGCATGCAGGGCAAGTATTATGTTGTCTTGTTAAGCATGCTGCATGTAGAGTAAGAATCTCGTAGGCCTGGAGGCAAGGTCACCATAGGCATGCAGGGAATCAGTTCACTAGACAGATTGCAACTGTTAAGCAATGTGTTGTCAAAGAAACTGAGTTATTAGGTTTAACATTTTTTTTAATTAGTAAGAGTGTAATAATAATA